ACGCGTCCTTCTTACAGGCGTTTGTGAAGCCCGCGCCTCAAGGGCGAGCACGCCTCCTCGGTGCATCTGCGAGTCCGGGCAGTTTGTTTTACAAGCGTAGCCGGTGCCTGTAGCAGCCATCCAGGCTCTGGCCCACTCCTGCTGTCCGGCTTCTGGCTCTAAAATATGGTTTCAATCAAGCTGCTTCCACTTGAAGCGAGCGTGGCAGAAGAGCCCCATCTCCCACTGCAACTATACAGCCGGTGGATGCAACTTCTGCTCTCGCCGCGCACGACCAACTCACTAAGAGGCGCTTTTAAATGACAAAATACGGCTGAGGGCAGATGGAAGAGGTGGTGGCTTACAGGAGAAAGATATAGGAGGACACCCTATATCTGCCAAGTTAAGTGCACGAGGCCGAGCGACAAGCAGATAGATCACTTAAACCTCTCCCTAAAGCACGTGCTACGGGCCCAACAACCTCTCAGGACACTGTAAGCCAAAGCACAAGCAATTCCTCGGCACCTTGAAGACGAGTCTTTTAAAGGGAAGGCTCTTTTAAGATAAGTCAAAATCTGATTTGCTAGGGAAGACATCATTACACCCATGGGAAATAACTGAGACAGGTAGAAGGTGGCTTTAGCCAGAGCAAGCAAGGTGGATGTTCAGGTAGGTTATGTTGCCCAATGACCTGGTGATACAGACAGATTTCTGCATTCACAAGCGCCTCTGGAAATTCTTGGCTAAGGAACATGGAAATATCTGTTAAGGTGAGTTGCACCTGGATAAGGCCTCTGCAGCACAGTATGTTCTGTAAGGAAGCTTATTACACCCAGTCATTTAGTTTAACTAGAATTCTGAAAATGAAGACCTTAACAGTGAGAACACAACGTAAAAAGCAGCAAGTTTGCTTAATTCTAGAGAGGCAAATAAAAGAAATGCTTCAGATGTGTAAAAACATTCAAAGACAACTATAGGAGTAACTACTCTCAAAGGCTCTTGTTAATCAGGGGAAGCAGCAGAGACCCCTACAGAGAAAGTTATATTTATGACTGCATAGAACAAGAAGGACCACTCCAAAAATAAAAGAAGATATTGAAGCAAGACATATGTACAAGGTGAACAAAAGCTAGTGAAAGCGAGTAAGAAATGATATGGTGACTTGACACAGAATAGATATCCAAGTTAAGGAAGGTGATCGGGAGGAATGGCAAACGCAGAACCTGTAAACATATACCAGGCAAACCTGCAAATTGTAGCATCATATTAGGAATCAGCAAGTTTTTGAAAAAGCCAAGGAAAAAGAGAAACACTGTTACAAATGACTTACCACCTGTTCTGGACAACCCTTTTGAATTAGTGCTGGCAGTGTGTTTTGTATGCAAATTTATGATCTCAGATAACCCCTAAACATTTAAAAACCAACCAACCAACACAAATATAACTATGCTGAGTTAAGGCAAATGTGCACAGGTGTTAGGTCAGAAGGTGGTAGGTGAGCTCAGCAGGAGGCTAACAAGACTTAGCATGAGTATTTCAGGCCAGTGAGATGAAACCAGAGCTGCAAGGCAAAGCGCTTGAAAAAGCCTGGGAATTACTAGAATGTTATTCTTCTTTCAGTGCCTACTGAAACAGGAAATCACACTAGGAAGAATTAGCTAAGAAAACTTAATCTAAGAGACCAAACCAACTTTAGACTGCAAGACTGTCTAGGGTGGTATTTAGACAATCATTGACTTCAATGATAAAAAAAAAATAGAAGGATTTACTACACAGATCACAGAGCTAGAGAACAGAGCAGTAGTTCTTCAAGGAAGTATGTTAATGTCATCATAGTTTATCACAGATAATCTAAGCGCTATGTCCAACTTAACAGCAAATTACAATTCTATTTGTTTTTTGGAATGGATGTGAATGTACTAATGAAAGCGTATGACCAAATCATTCTTTCAGAAGAAAAAAAAATACGCAGCCACAATACATGTCTTCATATTTTCATACTCTTTGATCTAGTTGATAAAGCATCCTGCTTCCCCAAGAACAGATATCTTAATTTCACAGCTCCACTCTTTTTTTCTGGAGTTATCTTTTAAACCCACTAGGCTGTCTGTAACAAGGACCACTGTTTCCCTTTTTTGTGACATCAATGGAATTGGAACTAACTGTGGACGCAAATTGCTCCCACTTTAACAGCAACACTCTCTGTATAACAAACGTTTATTCAGAAACAGGTAATACATTATTTTCTCCAGCCCCTAACATTTCCTCCCCCTCCCCCCGACTCTTATTAAAACACAGGTGTTTGATGGGCAGTCTAAAAAAGGGGAACAATAGCTGTCTTAAGTCCCCTCCCCTACAAACATCTGCAGTTCACAAGAAGCACTCTACCAATAACAGCATGGTTAGTTTCCAAACCAGAGAGTACTCTGTGAAAAAACAAGTCCTGCCAAGTCCTCAGTTATTTCCATGGCTAAAAGGGATATAGCGAAATAGAGGAATGCTTTGCACCTGCTAGATAGAGCAAAGAGTTTGTACAGAACAAGAAAGCAAAAGAAACGTAAGGTTGACCAAGAAATGGGAGTCCAGGCCTACAATGGTTTACTTCACTAAAGTTCAGCAGTGCCGAACAGAACGGATCGGGTTACTCTCCTAGCTAGAAGGATTAAGTTCAAACCCCAACCAGATTCTGGAAGTGGCTCTTACCTTTCCTCTTATAATACAATTTCAACTAATACAAACAAAGGCAGCTACTGGGACTTCAAATATCCATGGCAATAATGGTGCACTAACAAAGGAAGTAGTCGAAGTGCCACCTAGTGGCCGGTCGCAGATGCTCGCTCTGAAGGTGACTCGTTCTTGCTGCTCTGCATGGAACTTGCCGGTATCTAAACTCTTCGATGCATTCCCTAGAGCGTTAACTGCTCCCTCCACACACACCTCCCCCAAACCTCTCCTTGCAGCCACGGAGTGCAGTGATCACTCTCCACACCCATATATGGGAGCAGGCCTGCACAGCAGCCAAACATTGCCTAAATTAAACCTCAAGTGATTTTTCAGGGGCAGAAGACTGCTTCCTACATGTCTGAAAGAGGCCCCAGCTCCTTCCTTTTCATAAAGGGAGACTGGGTAAGTTAGAAGCTAAGAAAGCACTTCATGTCCCTATCCAGAAACCAGGAGGATGCAATACTGTCTAATAGGAGTGAAGCACTTGGATTTTATCTAGTTCTGAACACAATCCTGGTTCTTGTTTTTTAAGTTCAGAAGTAGGGAGAGAGCAACTCAGCCTGACTATACAGGGCAAGTGTATTCACTGCAGAAGCACCAGAGTCTTTCTCCACCTCTGTCCCTTACCAGAGTTAGAAACATCCCTCCCATTGCACGATGGGTGCTGCTCTTTACACACGTCCTTTCTCCCCGATGCCTCCCTTGGCTGGCATACCCACAGGGGAGCTCTGTTTTTCTTGCATCTTCTCAGTGTCACAGCTGCTGAGCAGAAAGTTATCCAACAGCCAGGCCCAAGTGGTATGCTACTGAATGCATGAGTCAGAGATGCGAGACGGTGCTTTCTGTATGGAGCCGCACCTTTATACTCAAGGTAGCAATTTTAGAAACCGTGTGTTGTCTTGCCTGCTGATAATCAAAGGGATACACCTTTTAGTTTAAAGGTAGGTCAGGAGAGAAAAGGAGATTGCCACTCCTTCCCTCAGAGTCTATGTGCACTTTTAATGGCCACTAGGGGCTTTCGAGTAAAGGAGAGTTACATCGTATATGTGTGGTAATATATTACTGGCAGAAGGGGGAGGTTATTCTCTTGGGGAAAAAAAATCATGGAAGAAAACTCCAACTATGAAAACAGAAAATACACACACAAGAGGAAACACTATTGTACAGTAAGGTAGCGATCATAGAAAACAAAAAAACTTCCAGGCAGGCAAATGCAAATAACATCTGCACTCCTGCACTTTTCTCATTCTCTGACTTGAGTGAGTTTTCCAGTCCACCACTTGCTCCCCCTTCTCAGAGTTTGATTTTAAATTCTGTGGGCTGCACAGAGGCAGAGACCCCTGAGGATTTGAAGAGTGCCTTCAAGATGGTGTCAGGGTCCACCTCAGCAGGGGGATTTGAGGAGGCGCTTGCACTTGACCGGCGTGGTTCTCCTTCCTTCTTCACTGAAGGGGTATCACTCAGTCGGCTGGAGAATTAAACAAAGAACCCACAAATAGTATTAAACCTCACATTATCAAATACATTTTACCCAATATCTGCACTGCTCAATATCCTCTCTTCTCAGCATTGGACATAGCAGTTTAAAATGTGCTTTCAGACAAGAACACTTCCTGATCGCAGACTTGCTTTGAATCCCCAGGGCTGGCCAACACTATGGAAGCAAGCTATTTTGCAGTCAGCTCAACACAGAGAGCTTCCAGAAAGGAAGAGAAAGAGGATATTAATGGGAAAACAGTTTACCAACATATTTTCCTCCTTCCTCATAGGTTCTCCTCAAAACAGAACCTGCAAACTCTTTTGGTTCTTTCCCTCAGTGGGCACTTACAGCAATATAGGCTGGTCTGAGGTGATGACATTCCCATTCATATGAAGATTGCATTTCATCGGTTGACCTAAACAAAATACAACAACAAAAAAAAATCTGTATCTCAGAATCACAGTCAGGCAAGGCTCCTAAAACATCACACAACAGTGCAAGCAATAGTAGAGCTCCACATTCTGGGGAAACCAGGAGAAAGAGCAGCTGATGCATCTTCTGTTGCAAGATCATAGCACTTCTAAGCAACTGAAGTGTAACTGAAACACTCAGGAGAAATATGAAATTTGAAGTTACATATAGGTAGACAACCCTTAGCACAGGCAGAGATTCTCCCATTCTGAGCTGTTTGCTCCTCATCTGATATTAGTGGTGATACTCATCCAGGGAAAGAAACATCTATTTTCAGCTAGAAAACTTACACTTGTTAAAGTTGCATCAGGCCTCTCACAAGGGTAAAAGATAAGCTAGAAGTTAGCAGCTAATTTCAGCCTGTGACAACATGCAGATAGATCCTGATCAAAAACTGCATTGTTCAAAGTCTGTAGAGAAGCTGATACTGTTTTACAGGTCTGATTCAGAATGTCTTTGCCAGGCCCCCAAGACCTCTATAAATACTAGTTTTACTTGTGCTGTGCAGTTACTCTGTAAGCATTCAGTGCCTTCCTAAGGACTATCCTGCTTTGGCTTCTAGGTTAGAGACAATACAAAATTCATCTGGAAGTCAGATCAGAGGAATCGGTGGAAATCTGCTTCTAGCTCTGAGCTCTCTTCCCGGGAAAACATATTTATGAATACCACTTAAATGAACTATGCATATAATCCAACAAGTTACACAAAAGCCTGCAAAGCCTCAGGTAGTAATTCTCTTGGTAATATATAAACACCCTGAGATGCTTTTAAGCTCTCTGCTGAGGTGAAAAACTGTTGATTCCTCTATCCTAAGTGTAACCTTGACCTCCAACTTACCATCTAAGCATCTGTTGTTGTATTTCTTATACGCTGTGATAGCATCTTCTTTCTTCACAAAGACTACCTCAGCCACTCCTGGGTGCACCAGCCGGGCTCGCTTCAGAGCGCCACACACACAGAATAATTCCTGAGGGCAGATAACAAGTCATGACAGTGGTCATATCAGAGTTATCACTTGAACCAGACAGACAGAGTGGAAAAGGCTTCGTTTCCTAATTACATCACCTAGTCTGCTTAGAAAATGCGTGCCAGATTCTGGCAGTAGCCATTTATCTTAATATGTTTACTATGGTACAAACAAGTACTTGGTATTAGTAATACAGGTGGAATAAAACTCCATACTGTCAACAACTCAAGCAGAGGAGTTCAAGGTTAGTGCTCTGTACGGCTATGCATGAAAACCAGCTTCGTTCTCAGTCTGCCTAGATAACTTGGATGGAGCATAAGTCAGAGAACACCAAGCATCATTTGGCATGAACTGTTCTAAATGATATCAGGTATCTCAATACAGCCTCGAAAGGGGATTTTGTCCACTGTTTTGAGCACACGTTTTTAAAAACAAACGCGACTAAAACCAAAAATCTAGGAAAGTTTTCAAAGTCCTCCCAAGGAAAGCAAATCCACACCATATCCCTCTTCAGTACATCCACCATAGAAAAGTGAATTATCAAAAGTAGGATGAGAGATGGAAGCTTCAGTCACCCAGAGTTCAGCAGTAAGCATCACTCACAACAATGTCTTCCTCTGTGACTCGAGGATGCAGATTGTTTACGGTCATCTTTGTGCCTTCCAAAGGACTGAACACCAGCTGCCAACACAAACCAATGTATTATGTGCAGAAGGTCAGAAACACAGCAGGCAAGACAGCGCAGCAGAGAAAGCATGACAAAATGACTGAAGGGACACCTGGGAAAGTCTGTACACACATATGAAGAGAAAATAAGGCTAGTAATGGCGAGTATCAATGTTCACAAAAGCCCAGCTCACCTGAGGTGAAAAGGAGCCCCTTTTCCATGCTAATTTCTCTCTGAAGCAACTCCTCTCTCCCTTTCCCAAATACAACACTAACTTAATTTGCATACATATACAACACTCACTTAGCCATGCCTACACCGCCTTTCAAGAGCGTCTAGGCTGCGTTCAGGACCAGCCAGCAAACCCTGTGCCTCCAGCCCCTCTAGAGCTAGCGAGCTCAGTATGCTTGGGAACGCCTGGTGGCACACTGTACCCAGCACTGGGCAGTTTGGCAAAGCAGTTCCAGTCAGGCTGTTCATAAATAGCCAAAGAGGTCCTGTGTGGACACCAGGTAGCCAAATTTGCGAGCATCCTGTTTTTCTTCTTGCTAACAGCAGGGGACAGAAAACAACAGAACTAGCAGTAGTGTTTTAAGCACTACTCTTGGCAACATGCATGCCACAAAGGGCTGTCCAAGTAATTGCTGCCCCCCCCCCAAGTAACATGGATTCCTCCAGGACCACGTGCTCCAGTTTTGGAAAGAAAAAACAGAAAGGCAAAATGGAGAGCCTAAGAATTCCCAGCCTCTAAATAAACCCTGAAGAAGAGGATGCTTATATAGGTTTCCAGCTTTTGGGACATGGGCTGCAGTTACCAGAAGCAGCTTGACAGAGTCCCAGAGATAGTGGTGGAAGGCAGACAGAAATGACTTACTCGCATCACTAATCAACAGCAATTTCACCTGTTTCTACAGAGATTTCTCTAAGGAGCATGTCCCATTTCCCTAGACTCACCTCGACAGGTGCTGGCTCTTTTGGAGGCTCCTCCTTTGTCACCAAGGTCCGGGACATGTTTGTCAGGGCCTTTGTCCGCATTGGGGAGGGAGGTGCAGGAGGAGCTGTGTAAGCATCATTCTGGACCACCTTAGTCAGGGGAACAGTCTTAGACAGAGAGAATTTATTGCCACTCAGCCCAGTCTACAGGAAGAGAGAATAAAGCGTCCCTGAGAGATGCAGCCTACAAAAGTAGGCCCTCTTTTCTAAGCACCAACAGCAGGAGAGCATTACTGGCATGCATTAAGAACTTTCACGTCCTTCCCAGTGTCAAAACCACTGCAGTGCTGGAGACTTTCAGCTTTGAGAAAAACAAAAACAACAACAACAAAAAAAAACAAACAAAAACACACACACACACCACAACCAGCTGAAGCTTCTGAGCATATGTTTACCCTAAGACACCAAAAGTGCTTTTTACAAACACTTAATTTTCATACTCTTCTTAAACTCTACCAGTGCAATTTGAATTTGAAAAAGCACCTTCCATCTGAAAATTCAAGTACTATACAAAGTATACACAAAGATCACTCATTTATAACAACACTGAGCTGTCTTAGAATTTCTGAAGAATGCCTGTTCACACTAAGCTAGCATACAAAGAGTAACTTTTCTAGTTGAAGCTACCTGGGGAATTTAAAGCCAAAAGAATAAAAGTTGTGCTGGATATCTGCTGTGAACACTGGAGACAAACATTTACTCCTACAAAAAAAAATAAGGCCATTTTTAAGGATAACAAACAGCCAGGAGCTCTATTTGCCTGAATACCCACACGAGAAAAAACACGGGATACTCATTGCACTAGACTGCCGGTGGGATGAAAAAGCCACATTAAATTACTTTCTAAGAATCACAGAATAATTTAGGAGGAACCCATGTCCAACCCCCTGCCTGAAGCAGGGTTAGCTTGAAAGACGCATCAGGCTGACTGGGCCTCGTTCAGTCCAACTCTGAATATTCGAGAACAGAGACTCCACAACCTCTCTGGGCCCCTGTGCCAGAGTCTGACCAATACCCATAAGAATCTTCCCGCCCCTTACATCTAACTACAATTTCTTTCGTTGCAAGATGCGAGTTGGCTCTTGTTCTTTCCCTGTTCACCTCTGAAAAGGGTTTTTTTTTTTTCTTTCTTGTCTGTAACCACCTTTTAGGCAGCAAAAGACAGGAGCCAGATCTCACTATACCCTTCTCTCCTCTGGCCTGAGCAAACCCTGCTTTCAGTCTCCTCTTGTACTCATATGCTGCAGACCCCTAACCACACTAGCAGCCCTTTGCTAGACTCGCTGTAGTTTGTCAGTGTCTGTCTTGTACTGTGGAGCCCCAAAGCGGGCACAGCACTCCAAGTCAAGTCTCACAAATGCCAGATAAAGAGCGATAATTATCCCCCTTGACTTGGTGGCTATGTTCTTACTAATATAGCCCAATACGCAGTTAGCCTTCCTTGCTGCAAGGATGCACTGCTGATTCATTCTTAGTATATCATCCAGCAGGTCCTTTGCTGCAAGATTGCTTTCTAGCCAGTCAATCCTCAGCTTATGTTGCAGAGGTTTATCCCATTCCAAGTGCAGGACCTCGCATTTGTTTGTGTTGAACTTCCATCTTCGAGAGCATCAGTACTCCCCAACAAGCTGCCAACTAAGATTTTGCATGGCAAGAGATTTCCTGCTTTGATGTCCAGTCTCTAGGAGCAGCAGAAAGCTTCCCTTGCTTTGCCTGCTCAAACAATAATGAGATAGATTCAAAGAACTTTCCCAAAAAGGAGAAGGAAGTCAACAGCTAACATGCAGTAACCTGCCAGCAAAGGAGAAAGCACACGTTCTGGCTGCAAAAGGCCTACAAAGCCACAGTTAGCCTACAAGGGACTCTATCCCCAAAATAACGCTAGAAGCATTGGCACAAAGGGAAGGGTGAGGTAGAGAGCAAACATTCCAGGGGAAATCATCGTTTACATACTTTAAAAGAACATAAGCCCTTTAAAGCTGCAGCCTGTGTGTCCACCCAATGTGAGCATGGCGTGGTGGGGACCGTTCAGATAATCCCTTACCGCGTTGTGCAGGAAACTGTTTGCGGTGGTGATTTTCATCTGTTTGCTAGGAAGGGGAGAGACACTTTCATCATCATCTTCCACATCATATAGCCCCTAAAGAAAAGCAAGGCAATGGTTTACAAGTAGGTGGATTTAATACAGGCATCATTCCCAAAATAAGCCATTCTCTCCTGCCTTTAGCCTTCTCCAAAACACTTTCAGTCACATTACCTAACGAACATTACTACTTTGGACTTCTGTCCTCACAGCTTGGTGACAGACAGCTGAATGCAGGCAAGTCCATTTCAAAATGTCAGCCTAAGACCCCTCAAACTTCTTTTCCAAGAATATCACAGCAAAGC